GCGGGTCTCCTTGCGCATGTCCCGCGGGCGGAGCTCAGCTGCAGCCGGTGCTGGTGCTTCTTCCCTGGGTCTGCAGTCTGAGGTTTGGACTTGTTTTTCCCCTGTTGGCAGTTTATCGCGGAATAAGTGGGAGAGGCATTTTCTTTTTTCCTTTCTGCAACTGTACAAAGTGTGCTGTCAGACACCTTGCTGTGGCACTCAAATATCGCTTGAAGCCGACTGGCAGTGTGTCTCATTTTACCCAGTAAGTTCCCAAAAGCCAAGGAAATCATACGTCACATAGAAGATCTGAACCTAGTGCCTGGCGGGCAGATGGGATGCCGGGGGTGTTTCCCTACCCTGCGGTTGGTGCTCTGTGTCTGTGTGTTCCTGAGTTCAAGGTGGTGGTTTTGAGTTTATCGTCAACATCCTAGTAAGTTGAGGGGGAAGGAGGGTTTTGTTTTTGTTTTGAAGTGAGGAATCTTGATCACTGCTCATTTACCAGCTCAGTAGAAGAACTTAAAATAGATGCCAGTTTTCAAGTCAGTGCTGTCTGGGGTTTAAAACGTAACAGTTTGGGGGTAAACTATGTACTTTTTCATTCAGTACTCGACTTTCATAAGACTCTCTCCGCCCGTTCCGCTGGGTGGCGGCCCCGGCGCTGGACGGACCATGGGTGTGGCAGCAGGGTGGTTCTTTCCCTTGGTGACTGCTGGACAAGTGATCCTGAATGTCCACACCCTGATTGAATTGGGGTGCAGGGAGGGTGGCCTTATGAGGTCGACACTGTCACTATGCTCTCACCTCGGCTGCTGGAAGGAGAGATCGTGCCCCCCTTGCTGGGAAAGTTACTGCTGTTCAGGTTCTCTTCATCATGGAGAAGAGGGGAGGTAACCAAATGTATACCAAGCATAAACTCTACCTTGACGCCTAGTGTTTTATTTACCAAGCTTTTATTTTAAATAGTCAAGTCAAGAAAAAAACTTACTAATATGTTGTTGTTACAATTATGCTGTTAGTGAGTAAGGTAGTGGAATAATCCCTTTTTGACAAAACTGTTAACTTGTTTTCTGAAATTTTAAAATCTGGATTGTAAATCCCAGAACAGATTCCTACATTTAATAATAATCTTTCATACGTGAAATTGTTCCCTACTCATCAGCTGTCACATGGTGATTCACTCCCCCTGCAATGAACGTATGAGACCTGGGTTTCAGTTCTGATCGAAGGCAGAATTCTCGTTAGAACCAGATAACAGAAGGCCATAGTGGGACAGTACTTTAGACTCTGCAGAGCAGTGTAAACCATTTGTACATACAAAACTTTAAAGTCTTCAATAACAAATTTGTGTGCTTTTTTTTTCCAGTATCAAAACACTAGGTGGGAAGAGTTTAATTTTAAAAGTTCTGAGCTCTACTTTTATATCACTGATTCCCAAAAGAATTTTAAGCTAATGAAAAAAAGTTCCACGGTTTCTTTTTTTATATATGTTTTTTTCTTATTCATTCATTCATTCATTTACGGCCTCATTGGGTCTTTGTTGCTGTGCGTGGGCTTTCTCCAGTTGGTGGCGAGCAGGGGCTACTCTTCGTTGTGGTGCTCAAACTTCTCATTGTGGTGGCTTCTCGTTGCAGAGCACGGGCTGTAGACGCGCGGGCTTCAGCAGTTGGCTCGCAGG